CAAACAGGCAGAGAGACCTGAGCAGCTGGGGGAGCTCAGGGGGGGAAGCCAAACCCATGTGATGGATATTCAGTAATCCAGAGGAGGCAGCCTTCCCTCTTCCCACGCTGAAAAGGTCTAGAAGGCCCTGTAATTTGGGAAGCTGGCAAAGCCCTTCCCTGTCAGAGGGGACAAGGAGGTCCCACAGCACCGTGTGGAAAGGGGCCCACGTTGGAGCAGTTTGTGGAGAACTGTTGCCTGTGGGATCAACTCCTGTTGGAGAAGAACTGTCTCCTTCCCTCCCCTGTGTTGGAGCAGGAAAGGACTCCCACTCCTCTCCCTGAGCAGCACCACAAACAACATGAGATGACCATGACCTGATTGTGACCAGGAGATGACAATGACCGTGACTGTGACACAACTGGGACCTGACTCCATCTCTGAGTCCTGGGAGGTCCAGATGAGACACCTTTTTGGCTTCAGTGGATGGATCATCCCATCCCACCCTACCCCACCTGTGCCCACTGCTGATGACACAACACGTGTTTGTGTTGCCCAGGTTGGGACATCTCAGCATCTCCAGGGCCAGTGGGGGGTTGGGTCCAGCATTTCAATGGACAGAGAGACCAGAACCCCCACATGAACCCCTGGGTCCCCCTGCCCCCACTCCCAGCCTGACCCCTGCTCCCCCCGAATGCCGGGATCACTGTGGGACAGGGGGGTCACCGTCAGCTTTTATTAACCCCCAATAAAAGTTTCACCGTTGACCCCTCACCCTCTCCCCAAGTCCCACCTGGGGCCCCCCAGATGCCTGGGATCCCCCAGCACCCAGGGGGCCCCCCCAGCCCCCTCAGTCTCGCTGCGGCCGCAGCTTCATCTCGGTGAAGGGGATGGAGACGTTGAAGCCTTTCCAGGGGAACCAGTGGATGCCCTGCGGGGAGGGGGGGTCAGGACCTCCAGAGACCCCCACAGAACCCTACAGACCATATTGACCCCTACAGGTTCCATAGACCCTGTGGATCCCTATAGAACCCCCTAGACCCTATAGAATCCCCACAGACTCCTACGGACACTCATAGGCCCCCACAGACCCTATAGACACCTCTAGATCCCCACAGGCCCTATAGTACCCGTAGAGACTTATCAACCCCCATAAACCCTGCAGACTCCTATAGACCCCCACAAACCCTTATAGATAGGTCCCTGTAGACCACCACAGGTTGCCATAGACCCCACAGACCCCTAGAGATGCCTACAGACTCCCACAGACCCGGGTAGGCCTTGACCATCTAGACCCTCCCAGACTCCCACAGAATGCCCACAGACCCCTAGAGACCCCCAGGGATCCCCCCCCATCTCCCCCAATCTCCCCCAATCTCCCCAGCCCCCTGTACCTGGTGGTCCCGGGTGGCCCCGTAGCGCCCGTTCAGGTTGGCATAGTGGCAGTTCCGGTACCACCAGGCCCCTCCATAGGCCACGGCACAGTGGGGAGGCCGGGGGTGCCCCGGGGGCTCTCGGGGGCCCCGAGGGTCCCGGGGGTCCCGGTCCCGTGTCGAGAAGGGGCTGCCCGAGTGGTAGGAGAGGGCGTCCCCTGCGGGAGGGGGTGTCAGCACCCCCAGGGACCCCAAAACCCCACAGAGACCCCCCCCCAGGGACCACTCAGAACTCCAAAACATGTCAGGGATCCCAAACCCACCAGGCACCCCTAAATGCCCCAGCAAAAATCCACCAGGGATCCCCAAAACCCATCAGGGACCCCGAGGAACCCCAAATCCCATCAGGGACACAAAAAATCCACCAGGGACCCCCCAAACCCTCCAGGAACACCAAAACATCCCAGAGACCCACCAAAGCCCACCAGGGACCCCTCAAACCCCACCAGGGACCCCCCCCAAACCCCACCAGGGACCCCCCCCAAACCCCACCAGGGATCCCCCAAACCCCACCAGGGACCCCCCCCAAACCCTACCAGGGACCCCCAAAACTCCACCAGGGACCCCCCCAAAGCCTACCAGGGATCCCCCAAACCCACGGCCCCCCCGCCCCGCACCGGCGGTGCCGCTGAAGGTCCCGACTCGGAGCCGATATCGCTCCTCAGCGCCGCCGACGGCGAAGTCGCGATAGTGCGCGAAGGCGGAGTCGCGAGGGGTCCGCAGGTCCACGCGCAGCTCCGTGGGGGTCCCGGCCGTCAGCGCGTGCAGCGCTTCGTTCCCTGCGCCCCAAAACCGTCCGGCACCCCCCGAACCCCTGGGGACCCCCCGAATTCCTCCCCCACATCTCCCCCTCCATTCCCAAGTCAGCGCCTCATTCTCCGTGCCCTGAAAACCATCCGAGACACCCCCCAACTCCTGGGGACCACCCGGACCTCCCTTAGATCCCCCGAGTCCTCCCTGCACACCCCCCAGCTGCTGGAGCCCACCCGCGTTCCCCCTGTGCCCCCTCAGCTGCTGGGTCTCCTCAAAGTGTCCCCCCCAAATCCCCGGGTGCCCCTGTGGGTTGCTTTCTTCCGTGTCCCCTCGAATTTCTGGGTCCCATCAAATCCCCCCAGGATCCCCCAAACCCCGGGAGACCCTCAAACCCTCCCAGGCCTCACCAAACCCCCCACGACCCCCCAGACCCCTGTCCCCCCTCTCACCGAGCCAGAACTCGCCGCTGATGTTGCCGAAGCCGTGGGCGTACGACTCCCACCCCCGCCAGAAATCGGTGCCCCCGTCCTGGCGGCGCTGGAACACCTGGGGGAGTGGTCAGGGGCACCCCAAAATCCACCCAGGGGCCCCCAGTTCCACCCCAGACCCCCCCAGTGACACTATGGCCTCTTGTAATACCCCCCGGAAACCCCTGGAGAAGCTTCCCAGCCCCTCCCAGTGCCCCCGGTCTCTCTTCCAATGCCCCCCAGTTCCTCACCAAAACCTCCCAGTCCCCTCCCTGTGCCCCCAAGCCCCCCTAATCCTGCCTCAGAACTCTCTCTTGTCCCCCAGGACCCTGATTTCCTCCCATAAACATCCGTGAAGTGCCCTAGGGATGCCTCCCAGCTCCTTTCCAGTGCCCCTGTGCCCCTCTGTCACCCCCAAACGCCCCCATTGCCCCCCAGACCCCCACTGCTCCCACAGAACTCCCTAGATCCCCCCCCCCAGCCCCCTGTAGAAGTCCCCCAGCCCCTCCCGGTGCCCCCAGTCCCACCAGCCAGCCGCCGCCGTCCGTCTCCATGTCACAGAAGACCCTGAGGGGCCGGGCCGGGTCCCCTCCGAGGAACACGAGGGTCTCCCGCGAGGGGCCCGGCCCGTTCCGCTGCTCCTCGGCACAGTCCCGGGGGTGGGGGTGCGGGAGAGGGGCTGGGGGGCACGGGGGGGTCCCTCAGGCACCGCAGGGGCTTCTGGGGATGCAGGGGTGCGGGTGCCCCCTCCCCAGAAGCACCCAGACCCTCCCCACCCAATAAACACCTCCCCACCAGGGACCCAGTGGTCCAGGTGCCCTCCCCAGAGATCCACTCCCCCTCCCAAGGGACACAACTGCCCCCAATAAACCACCTGCCCCTCAAAAGTACCCAGGTGCCCCTTCAATGAACCCCCCACCTCGGGCATCCATTGGACCCCTGCAAAGACCCAGAGCCCTCAAAAGGACCCAGGGGTCCAGGTGCCCCCCCCCAAGGAGCCTCCCCATCCCCCCCTGCCCCCACTCACGGGT